AGACGTGCCTTATGAGATATTTCTAGTATATTGTAGTTTAGTAGTATATTCTACTACATAAAACATAAAGAAAATTTTATTAAAGACATAATGTTTTTAAAGTAGTTTAAAAAAGTGCAGTATTTGTATATAACCAGAGTAGTTTGACAATAAAGGCATCTAACCTTTTAATTAATATTTCACTGATAATATATATCTCTCCTTGAAGGGAACTACTAAATACTAGATGTAGTTAGTACATTTTGTTTCTTAGCAAAAACACTTTTATAGTTTTGAGATATCCTGCGGTAATTCTATAGATATTTTTATCTATAAATAACATTAAAATATACATCATTTTCACTTCGACGCACTATAGAATTATAGCTGAATTGCTCGTAGCTCATTATTTCAACTAATGACCATACAATTCACATTAAGATACGCCATCAAATAATTGCTGTTATCTAAAGTTAAGCCCCTCAGTCATTTCAGTTAATCCTTATACATAAACTACATTACTACTATACATCACTAATTCTTCTCCCCAATTATATAAATAAATAAAATAAAATGCGATTTTAATTGTTACTTTTTATAATTGTATGTAAAACAAAAACTTCTAATGTTGTAGATTTAAATACAACACTAAAAGTAATTTTAAGGCACTTGGATTACCGAAAATATTATTACATGATTTCTTTTTAATAAGTGCAAATTTTGTTATAAAACAACAAATAAATCCTTTGAACTTATCTAATATTGCTTCGAAAGTGCTTTTCCGTAATACTTTTATCAATACTTTCAGAACCAGGACTAAATCACTAGAGCTTTAATTTCCACCGATTGGAAACAAATTATTTCGTTAACGATTTTCATCTTCTTCTTCCTGTAAACGAAGTATATCGGCTTTATTCATAAAATAATAACTTGGCTGACGTCCTTTTAAATCCTTAGATGTACGCTTGGCACCATTTTGTATCAATATTCGACTCAGACTCTCTACAGTATTTGTACCCATTGCATAGTGTAATGCAGTACGTTCCAACTTTAAATAAGAAACATTTAATATATATCTTAACTATAAATATATATATATATCCATGATTTAACGTAATACATACATTATCACCTATTCTTAACACCTCAGGTGCGTGATTTATAAATAATGTAACAATTTCTTCAGCTTCTTTCAAAACTGCAATATGCAATGCAGTACGTCCTTTAAATAAATATTTTTAGTAATATATCTATACATATATAAAATAACTTTAATCGAACCATAGTAGTTTTTGGCCCCCAACAACCATTTGGCATTTATTGAAGCAGTTATTTCCTTAATCCGCTCTAAATTATTTTCACGTATCATTTGATGCAACTCTTCACGAGTTTCCTAAGATGAATAAATATATTAAAGAAAATGTAATTAAAATACACATTAGCGATTTCTGAATTACCTCCATTGAACGTAAATTGCGCAAAAATGCTTCTAATTCCTCGTGACCCTTTTCAGTAACAATATCTGTTATCATCTTACCACTATCATCAACTATGTCAATGATATGATCGTAGCCCATTATTCCCAAGTGTTCGAATGGTCTTACATCACCTTAAATAATTTAATTAGTAGAAAATAAAAAAAAGTATTTATTACATATTATATAGTATATTTGAATTATCATACCAATCACAGCCAATGAGAGTACATAGCGATCAATTTCTTTTGCATTTGCCAATTGATTTGCTTGCAAGGAAACATCCCTAGCGGTACGATATAGCTCATCTCTATATGTTATGTCAATATTTGATTCCTCAATCAAATTCATTAACGCTCCACGTCTATGGGAACGAGCACAGGCGAAGTGCAACATACTCTGTCCATGCTCATCGCGGTCGTCGTACTGATTAACGGCTAAGGAATCATCTTCCGCAGTTGAAATGCGTTCAATATCGTTATCCTCATTATTACTGTTGCTGGCACTAGGATTTGTGTTTGACTTATGCGTCATTAATGCGGTTGAATTTGTTTTACTGCTGCTGCTCTTTATTGTTTGCTCAACTTCTGCTTTACCATTGCGGTTCCGTACATAGTTCTGTAAGAATCCGGTGAGAAACGCGACAGGATCTTCTGGTCTTTTGTTCGCAATTTCAGTAAGAGCTTTTATAAGCGGTTCAGCCAAGTCTACATGGAAGTGACAATTATTCAATTTTAAGTTTAATGTTTTATTATTATACTTTGAAAAAGAATATTTTAAAACTATCCCGAGGTACCAAAATATGCATCCTGTCAGACAGCCAAGCAGCTATAAAATCTTTAGCAAAATTCTTATTCCAATGAAAGTTGGTCTGGGAATGCTTTCAACTTCTCAACACCCTAGCAGCGAGGCACTATGTTACTCTTATTTGGGTACCGGGACACGAAGGGCATGAGGGCAATGAAATAGCAGACTCCCAAGCAAAGAAGGGTGCATGTGCTCCTTTCATTGGTCCAGATTCCTTCTGCGAGATCACAAATAGCTTCACAAATAGCTTATTATGTGAACGGGAGAAACAACATCTACTTGAACACTGGAGAGCCCAAACAGGCATGCGACAGTCAAAAGGATTCATTGATCCTAATCATATCAAAGTTAATGCTATCCTTGGCCTTTGCAGAAACGATATTCAAATCTACACTGAACTTCTTAAGGGACACTGTAGACTTAATTACCACATGAAGATTATAGGTGTGGTAGAAAGTGACTCCTGTGGCTTTCATCACCAAGCGAAAGATTGGACTTAAAAACATATATACTTTTATTTTTTTAGATTATCGCATAAAACAAGTCAAACAAATCGGAGATTATCAGACTGATTAAAAGTACACTCGTTTGTAAAAGAATGACCCATATGCAGTGAAAGTTCTCCCAAGGGGACACCGATCAGATGAACCATTTTAATCGTTTATAAAAAATATTAATATAAAAGAACGTGAGGTTTATAAAAAATGAAAACTGTGGACTCGATTAATTGAGACCGTTCATTTAGGAAAAGTCTCACCTTGTAACAGTCTTTTAAAAAAATTTGAAAAAAAAGTTTTTGAAAATTTTGTTGTTCTTGATCTTGTGATTTCAGTTAGTGCTACTGCGCATTTTTACTATTTGTGGCTGGGGGGCTTATCCCTGTCCCACACAACTTTAACTATTTTAGAATCATAATCATTTATTTATCTTCTAACTGATGACGGACCGTAGATCAGCATAACTTCCTGTACGTCCTGAGGTGGACTTACGGTTTGTTAGGGCGGGGTTGGGCAACTTATCAACTTTTGTGAATAATTTTAGGGCTATGTTCTTGATATATTTTTTCACTAAGATTCTTAGAAAATAAAATTTTTTTATGTCAAAATATAAATAATAAGTAACTTTATCTTTAAATCAAAAATTATTGAATATGAAGTTCTCTTATACTAAGAATAAAATACTTACTGTTTGCTAGATATTGTCCTTGCTCTGTTTTGAAAATCGGATTATTTTGACAACTTTGGTTTTCAACTTGACCTGAAAATAGTTTTCGATTTAAATTTAGTGTTAAATTCTTCGTAAAAGTATTTTACAACAGCATTATAAATTGATCGATTTCTAAAAACTAATTAATCGATATAAAGTACTGAAAAGCAAAGGAATTAAATAGTGCGTACAGCTAGTATAACTTCAATTTTAATATTCAAACAATATTTATGTATAGCATAACGACGAATTAAGTATAAAATAATTGCCATTACTTCCTAATAACTTCTAATAATTATTTATTTATATATATTTTTTAAAGTTCTTTATTTAATGGACGAACGCAATACTAATTCTTCGAGAGTGAAATGAAATCAAATTTTTTAAGACTTGTATTTAAGTAAAAGGTACTTTGGATGAAGGCATGAAAGGAATTACAACTATGATTTATATATTATTATATTAAAAAAGAATAAAGCTATTTCAAACAAATTTTGCGTTTTGTTTACATTAGTTTTTTTTATAATTAATTTTTTGTTTTGACTTAATTAATAAATATCAATCCATTAAAACATATAAAGGAATTTTGAACCATATACTTTGATTAAAAGTATTTTAAGTAAGTTGATTATATTAATATGAATAGTTACTCAAAAGTATATATATGTATATGTACATATGCAGTAAGCTCTTGGTTCAACAAATACTTGTTATAAGTAACCCTCTAAATGAATAAATGATCATATACTAGTAAATATAATAAACAAAAATGTTCTCTCCAAATAAGAATTATTGAAAATAATCCGTATTCAAAATAAAGAAAAATCTTTGATAATATAAAATTTCTCATTTTATGGGGGTCTACTGTATATATTATAAATAAATAATAAACCTAAATTTGATATTCAAAATTATTTTAAAAATTTTTTAATTAGTAATAGTTCTTAAAACAACAGCTTGATCCAACAAATATATTTTAATCAACTATGTAAATCTTAGCAGGCCTAACTTCAATAAGATTCCCGAAGAATTAATATCCCCTATAATTTTTCTCTGGGTGCTGATATAAATATAAATAATTATATGGTATAAAAAAAGTCTCTAAGAAATGTTTTTATTTTTATGGCATATATTTTCATAAATCTTTCCATATTCTTAACAACAATTTAATCTTTTCTTAACCCATTTCTCCAAATATTGTAGGTTAGGAAACTCAAATGAAATGTGAAGCGCAACTTAATCATAAAACTAAAAAAATCACAGGACATTAACTTTTACAAAAACTATTATTCTACTACAATCTTACAGTACACAAAAAGGAATGTTTGAAATAAAATAATTTACTAACCCTGTTGCAAGTTGAATGTGAAGCTCATTAACTCTCAGAAGCAAAAATAAAAGAATTTCAACAAAAATTAAGTACTCAATTATATATTTTGTATAATACAATTTTTTTGAATGCTCATACTAATTTTGATAAAATTTTTGTATTTACAAATCATGTGAAATGGCATTCTATTCTGCTGAATTATCTAAATGATTGTGTATTATTGCTATATTTTTAGAAAACTAATTACGATCCACTAGACTGTTTTTCTTACGACGAAATATTTTCACCAACATTGTTGCGATGTGTTTTGAGTTCGTCAATGACATGTCCTTCTCCAGCGAGAGAATATTAGTAACGGCCGTACTATATTCCTGAAAGAGCACGTATTCAACGGCTCCCAAGCTTTGCATATTTATTAGACGAACAGTTGTATTGGAAATTGGATTAGTTATTAAGCTAAGGCCACGTACAGAACACAAGTGACGCAGATTGTCCATTTCTTTCATGAGGTTTGGAAGTTTGACATTTGTTGAAAATTTAAGTCCAGTACCCAAAAAAGATGGGCGCGCTTGCAAGTAACCAAGCAGATAGCTTTCCTTAAAGTGGAGTTTATTTTCTAAATAAGAAACTGCTCGACCTACTCTGGTATATGCAGATCCCATATCGGCGGCATTTGAAGCATTTGTTGTTGAAATAACACGCAAATGTTCTTGACAATTAAGCCAAAGTGCCAGATTATTCTCTGAATTTAGATAAACTCCTCTACCATAAGGCCAAAGGTGCCCGTTAAATGCCATTGATTCGGCTTGTTGTATTGTGTCTTTGCTATCTAGTATCGGTATCATTAGACCAAGTGTATTAAGCATTTCTAAAATGACAGAATGTTCTTCCAATATTTCGGTAAGCGTGTAATAACTACCCATTTCGCTTTCTCCAATAGCCTCAGAAAATGCAGAAGTAAATATTTTACCCATCATCAAGCGTTCGGCTTGTTCGATTTGTCCAATCGTCAAATTCAGTGGCAATTCAAATTCATCCAAATTACGTGAGCATTCTACAATGCACCGCTGTACAACATTTGATTCGTCATCAAATATAAAACCTGCCGTGTTAAGACGTTCACCATTCTCCATTGGAAAATAAGCAATACGTGGATGTGGCTTGAATTCAGCTTCCAGATCCATACAATGCATGTCTTTTATAAGTGGAACCAGAAATTCTTGATAAACTACGAATACATCAAAGTCCGGAGAAATTATGCCACAATTTATATCCTCCTCTAGATGGCGCAGTTTCGAAGTTTTACGCATTGCCGGCCAAATGACATCAAACAAATTATGGTCCAGACGAGTTTGTCGCTTTTTTATGCGGTCATAAACGCTTTGCTTGAGAAAACGACTAAGATAGCTGGTTACTGATATTTGTAGAGTTGTTGCACTCAAAGTCTTGCGCTGTGCTAAAGCTGAAGCAGTTGCTCCACTCAAGGACTTGTTCGATTCTTGTATGACACTAAAGCATCGATCTAAGGTTCTTAGGATATCATTGTCCTGTAGTTGACGGCGGGAACTATGCAAGTCATCGGGTACTATTTTTGGCATGTGTGATAAAGGTATATAAAGTGTTCATAAATGTTTTGTTTACTTTTTACAAGAAATGCATTTATTATGTGATTTTCATTCTATAAGACAAGACAACACAAATAACAACTAAAAAAATTAAACAGAAAAATAAAAAGCTTTACATACCTAATTATATAACTTTTATACATATGTTTATTAGTGACTAAAAAGAGGAGCATGAGTTTAGATATTTCAAATTAGAACAAAAGTAGTATTTTTCAAAAATAAAATAAAAAATTTTAGAGAAGCAAGAAACCATAAAAAACCCATTTAAAATTGATGAAAAGAAATCAAGGTAAACCATTTGAAATTTATGAGATATATGTTGATATATCACAAATGCACGTTCTTTAAATTACAAGGTATCAAGGGCTCAAGCAATATGAATTTATTTTATATCAGTTCAGGAAATTATTCAAATCCTTTATATTATAAAAGAACATTGTCACTTAAAAAGTTTCTATACCGAATGGTTATAATATTATTCACACTATTGTGAAAATTGGATACAATCAAGTTTTTAAAATATTTGCAGCATGATAAAGGAGATCTCGGACACTATACAAACTATATACATTCCTGTTAATATATCGACAAATTATTCATTAACTAAAGGACCAAATCGAATGAAACATTACACAGAGATTTCTTGAGAATCAAGAAAGATAATGTAGTCAAATGAGTAAAACTGACTACTGTTGATATAAAGGGCTTATAGATTTTTATTCTCGAAAGTAGTCTTTCATTAAAATTATTATTGTATAGTTATAAGTTAAACATTGGAAGATATAAGAACTTCTGAAGGATGGGTCATTTATCATTTGTATTTTGAGCTACCGATTATTTTGAGTCATCAAATTAAGAGCGCGTTAAAAGTTGATTTTCTAAAATAGGATGCTCTCGCTTGAAAAAAAAAGGAAAAATATAAAAAACATATTTCCCAATTGTTAAGTGTCGTATTCTAACTATAAGAACTTTAAGAAAAGCAAAACATTTAGTAAAAACGTCGTGCTTTCAACTTATAGATCAATTTGTAAAGCGAGTTCGTAAAACTGCTGTTCCTCATAGTACATACTCGTATGTAGGAATAATCGCAACAACATTGTTGCCAACAATTAAAGACTTCACGCACCTCTTTGATGAAAATGTTACATTAATACCTTGGTATAAAGCAATGCACACTTTTCGGTTTTCTTAATATGTGATAGACCTATTGGTCCAATATAAACTTTTTCACCAAAAAATCATCTTTTCAGATGAAGTTTAATTCTATGACAGAGGTTATGTCAATAAGCAAACTTGCTGAAGATAAGATGTATGTAATCATGCAGATGGCGATGCATCGAAAGCGAGTGACTGTTTGGTGTAGATTTCTGTCCTGCAGCATTATTTTCCAGTTTTTTTTTCAAATTGGCAATAAGACGTAATTAATTAAATAAATATTTATTTATCAAAATTCAACGAATGGCATAACCGACATTTGGTTTCACCGAGATGGCGCAATTTGTCTCACATAAAAATCGGTCTCTTTTACACTGTGCTGATGTTGATTGACATTCTTGCAGTTGCGATTTGATTGCGAAAGGCCATTTTTTGTTAAGAATCGTCAACGAAAAGCGTTATGGTAACCATCTAGATACCATTCCAGCCTCATTACATGAAATATGAATTGCCATTAATTAGATAGAAGCCCATACAATCGAAAACATACTGAATATAGGAATCTTTCAATGAGATACTGTAAAGCTAACCATGAAAGTCACTTGAATGAAATTGTTTTTTTTTCTGTTAATGGCACAGTGTATTCTTTTATATGTAGCAAAAAATTTTTTAAAAACAAATCGATGACCGACTAAGATTATTTAAATGGTCCATCCTATTTTAACCTGTAGCTACTCTTTGTTTATGTCATTACTTTACTCAGCCTTAAGTGCATATATTCTATCCCAAATACATTATTTTTATATCAAATCACTAACCAGAATAAAAATCTAAATTGAATAATTTATATATATGTTACTATTACCACTTTGTTGCATGACCAGTAATAATTTAATACTAACGTTTTTGTTTATAGAATCACTAATTTTGCACTAATTTTGTTATAGAAACATTATCCCATATCTGTGATATTTGCAATATTCTCTATATATTCAGGAAATGAGAATATATCACTGTACTTGACAAACAAATGTAATAAGCCAAACAAATAATATATATATATAAAAACAAATAATATGTATTGACATAATTTAACAAAAATATATACATATATATATATGTATATATATTCAAAATTAAAACGGTTTAGTATGTTAACTGAAATTCCTTAGATTATTTTTTCTGACAAATTACGTATGGATACCATTGCACCTCCCCAATATGACTATTTCTTATATGCTTGCTTTTCTCCCTAATTTTTAAAATATATTAAAATAATAAAATTATACGTATCCACCAGAAATGATTTAATTAAACTAATTACTGATTTACTACAATTTTTCTTCTAAAGAGCACTTTAAGCGCTTGGAGCGTATAGATACGAGATACTTTTCTTCAAACTTAATTTTTGACGTTTTTGTCTGACCAGTCAATTTCAAATATTTCAAAGAATTTTTTAAGGTCCGTAAAAGTTCTAAAATATTGAAAATATTGATTTCTTTGTATTTCATTATTTCGTTATTGAAAAGTATTAATAGACGTTTAAATAATTTAATATTCTGCTGACTTTGAAACTTTTGATATTATGGAGAGAATTACATTATGAAATTTCGAACTGAGCTTAAAAAAATTATTTATAAGTGATTTAAATAATGTACAAAAAATAATTATAATTAATTTTCTTAAATATATTATAATCACATTTTAGTCTTATCCTTGCTTGAAATTAATTGCTCCTAAAACTGTTCTAAATTTCATACGTACCAAAGACATCGTCAATGTTTTTAATGATTTGGTCAAAAAATTCACGGTTTTCTAATGGGTGAGCCATGTCGATTGCCATTAAGTTAATATTTTCAATTAAAAATTAATTTATATTATATTTATGAAACATGTTCCTTTATATTAAACACAAAATAAAACGAATTTCACGAACGTCACTGACACTGACAGACTTCGAATTTAGCATGTGGCCACCGCAATAGTAAATCGATGACTGACAAAGCTAATGCAGGTGGCAGTGATACAAAAAGGGCAATAGAATGTATAACGTCGTGGCTGCAAGGTAACTAAGTTAAAACAAACTTCATTATTAATTTAAAACAAAAGCCCCAATTACAAGTTAAAGGAATACCAAACTTAAAATATACAAACACAAAATAAAATAAATGGATGAAGCGTTAACATGGAGGCAAACTAAAATAATAAAAAACGCTACAAAAGGATTTTGTGAAAACCATAAATATGTATATAAGCAAAAGAATGTATTTTTGAGACGAAAATGACTTTAACGTTTAACTTGACCACTTACCTTGGTCATTAAGTAACTCTTCTTCCAGACTTTCAGCACCGAAATTACTCAGCAATTGACCATAGCTAAGTATATTTTTCGATTTCTCTCCATTCAAATAGAACTCAGGAGTATGTCCCAACTTATTTAAACAAATATTTAAATAGGGAAATTATATAAAATATATATAAAAGTTAGGTCGATTTGTATGTATTAGTAATTCTACTAATTTATCTATATAATTATAGATATAATTTTTATATTTTCAAAATATAATTATAATTTTTCTTTAAAAAAAAGCCGGTTCAATTTTATATTACAAATGTTTTATATCTCACACGAATCAATGTACGTGACACATAATTAATGAACATTTATTTATATAATTATTTAAAAAAGTCCTCAGCAATTGAATTTTTAAAGTTCTACATTACCTTATCCATTCCTTTCGGATTCGCCCCCAGCTGCGTGAGTACATTATAGAAATGTCCATTGTCCTTAATAACCGCCGCATAGTGCAACGCCGTACGTAAGTCATTATCCGTAATTGTTGTTGTTTCAGGAAAGCGGGCCGCTAAATACCTCACGATATCTTAAAGCCAAAACAAAAAAGGAAGGGGGTAATATTTTAATAGGACTTATTCATAAAATATTTTTCTTGGACACGTGGAAAATCCCATTTTTTATGATTTTTCCTTGCAATTTAATAACAAATTATTTTAGTCAATATTAAATTGTTTATTGTGGAAATTATTACAGAAAATATTAGAAACCTAATATTTAAATATTTATTAAAATAAAAACATTAAATTATTTATCTACTAAATTTATTTCATTTTAGACATGACAAAAAAAAAACTATTTTATGTTAAAAATTGGTTAAATTTAATGAATCACAACAACAAGAATTTTGTCTTTTAATTTATTAAACTATTTGACCACATATTGAGTTTTGCGTACCAACATTCACCAGTGATTCTTAGAAACATTTTTTAAATTTAATTAGTTTCAAATATTATCTTTATGATTTCGTTCTAATATAAACACAGCAAGTGAATTTGTTAACAAAATTTTCTTAGCAAATTAACAAAACTCTAGAAAAATGTGCGAACATAATAGTCAACTACACCTTTGAGTCAATTGGTTAAGGTGCGTTGACTCTGAGCTTCAAATTTGGCAGGATACGATTTCGATTCCTGGTACTTACAGTCTCAAAAAATTATTCGTGAATAATAAAATGCAAGAATTATTTCCAAGACCACTGATGATGGGTATTTGGCAATACACGAAACAGTTGTTTGATCATCCAAAAATTCAATTAATTAAAATAATATAAAATTAAATTTTGTTGTTGTAGTTCACTAATGTTCGAAAAACCTCTTTATTATCTTTATATATAATTTATATACGTTATATATTATTTTCATATTACATAGGTGTTGTGTATTTTTTATAATAATTCAAATTTTCGAATGAAAGTCTCTAAACAATTTTAAAGAAATATTTTAAAATGCGATCATAGAGTAAAAGCATATATGTATGTAAATATAAATGCTAGAAAAAATATCACAGAAAAACGAAATTAACAATGTGTTTCAAGTGGTTTTTTGGTCCGAGAAACAATACACAAGTTGTAAAAATTTAGTGTATCCTGGGAGAACAATATCGCAGAAGTACATAAAATAGTTTTTGATTATAGTCAATTTAAAACTTAAGAGCTTCTTGGGGCTGAAAACATTCACTTCACTTTATTTAAGAAATATTGCATGCAGACTTAGATATTAGAAAGTTTTCCACTCACTTCGCATTGTAGTTCAATCGACGTCTTCATAGAGATACCCGTACATGTTTCCCTAAAGACTGTTAAAAGAAGGACATTTCTTCACTTTTTGCAGCTAGCTAACACTACGTAAAAGTCATTCAATACATGTAAAACACAGGGTCGAACAAACATTTGTGTAACAAGATTAGGTCAAGGGAATTTATTAACAGGATTTGAGGTCATACTGCAGGAAAAATCATAGTTCTTTCAGGAGTTTTGAGTATAGAGCCATACATACAGCCATTTTTTACAAGTTGCAGAGAATTAGATGCATTTACTTTGTGACTGCCTAGGCTAACAAAAAGAACCGGAAAACTCTTCATTTCATTAAGAAATGCTGTTTCATGATCCAACATTTAAAATCAAACTGGATGGATCTAGTTTATCTACAAGGGCTTTTTGCAAGAAATGTGGAAGTGAAATAACAAAGAATTGCGAACTAAGTGAGGCGTTAGGGTATCTGTCAATCAGTCACTGCAACAAGCTATTCAAGCAACATATTTAGTAAATGAAACGTATATTGTATATAGTATAGGTATATAATAAAAAACGTCTCCAGAGTCATTTAACCAATATAGTTGATCTGCTCAAATTTCACTGATCGCCTCGGCTATATTTCATGAAATTCATTTCAAATTCATTGACCATCTGAAACATCTGATCTGAATCTGAAGCAAAACCGTGACCCCCTGTTACCTGTTTTCATTTCCAAAGCTACAAATTTGGTTCGTATGGTAAAAATTATCATTAAGTCAAGGGATGATGTACAATTTAAAAAAATTAAACAAGTGAAAACACCATTGAGAATAAAGTTTCAAATTAAGAAACAAAATCAGAAAACTCAAAAAGGTTTTTCTTTGTTTTGGGCACAAGATCTATCAAATACCACTCGTTTGTTAATATAAGACTTGTAACTACAAATCTGGACATTTTTAAATTTATAGGAATGCAAAATGCAATATATGAACATATTTAAATGCGAGTGGCTTACCACTATGACCAAATAGAACAGCCACATGTAAAGGTGTAGCTCCATTTGGTGATATTTCATCCCTGGCTATTGCAAACTTTCGGCGATCCAAGGCTTGTTGCAACGACAATATTTTCCCTTCGCGAGCAGCTTCATGCACGCGACGTATTTTATTCTGAAATGAAAGTTATTTATATTTACTTAAAAATAAAAATATTACAGCAAATATTGCATAAAGGACGTACCATATAATTTGGTACATTATTCAGAAATGCTTGTATTTCTGGTTCCGGAGATTGCATGTTCAACAATTTATTACCATCGCCATTCAACACAATTTGCGCTAATTGCTCCATATCGCCGGACGCAATTATATCTTCAATGCGTGTTTCCTTTAGGTTGTTTGGAGTTTTCGTTTTTTATTCGAGCATTTTTAAAAGAAATATTATAGTGTAAAAATAACTTCGTTTTGTTAAGGAATTTAACAATTATGTAAAGCAATTACAACAATTAACTTAACACTTTAAACGATAAAAATGAAAGTAAGGAAATCATTTTTTAGATAGCAGCTGGGTGCAAATATCACAGAAAAATAATTACAAGAAAACAAAACAGTGCTTCCTTCCTCTTAGGAATAACATAGTTAAAAATCCTCTAAAATATTGCAAGACCAATTAAAAATAATTGTTTAAAAATTTGAACTGAAATGCAATTGAAAACAAAATTTAAATTAAATGCGACAACAACAAATGAATTGGACAAAATTTTTAAAGTTATACTTCATCAACATAAGCTGCAGATTGTGACTGAACTGTATTATCCTCGGATTCTCCAGCAACGTAACCTTCAATTGCAAGTGAAGAACTGGGTGAATCTACGCCATAATTCTCATTTTCCTCTTCCTCTGTATGTTCAACATCTTCATTATTGTTATCATCGGTGATTGGAACATTTTCGGTCCCTGATTCTTCATCTTCTTTTTCGGTTTCCTCGTCAGGTTCGATATCTAAATTCTATACATTTTCATGGAATGAAAGTATTTTACAAAGCAGCTATTAAGCAAAATATATATATTTTTTGATTTTTAACTATTTTAATTTTTTGATTTTTTAGTGCTTTTTACTAAAATTGCGCACACAACTTGAAATACATTATGCACTTTAGCTACTGTGCTTGTTCTTATTTCAATGGAAAAAAATTTAGTAATAGGATTAGGATTATAATAGCATACAATGGAAGTTTTATTCCATTAGCGTTCTATTTTCTTTTGACTTCGATTTTGTTAGAATGTCATCGAATATAAAAAATTTATTTTATCATATCACAAACATTAACACAAATTATTCCCAGTGCTGATCTGAAGAGGTCAGTCCTTTCGTAATTTTTATTATATATAATCTTACTAACTATTTATTAGGCTCACTGGGCAATATTTCCTTATGTTTGGAGTTTAAGGAAGCTGTATGTGAAATAGGTCTGTCATCTACTAACAATGCAACACAAATATATAAGATTGATGAGATGGAATTGAAGCGAATAAGACTTTATCAGCTATTTTTGGAGCTACTAAAAAAGGATAAAATAGATTTTACCGTGTCATTAGTATAAATGCGACTTCAGAATTTACTTTTGATTTTGAATCAAAACAAAAGGTTACTGATTTTCTCTTAAGACTTTCACAATAACATCAAGTTCTTACAATATATAAGATTGATTTAGATTGATATGTGTTGATTTTCTTAGACGATTTTATTTATTAATTTATTTATTAATAATTAAAATTTTTTAAAAGTCTTGAAGATTGAAATTTATTCC